AAAAAAGGAAAATAGTGGGGTAATGAAGTCCAGTCAACAACAACAAAATTGTAACAAGAAAAAGAAAAGGAAGTGGCATACAAGGATCTATCTAATCTTAAAGCAGAGAGGAAATTTTAAAAGAATCAATAACATTTGTATGGCTAGCTGTAAACCCAGCTAGTTTGTCTGACAACACAATCAGCAGACAGTACGGCTGTGAAAAGCTCAAGTTAATATTATCCCATCACGTGAAGTTGGTCACAATTTTTTTTCCAGCGTATCTCAAGCCCCTATATTTTAATCCTACCCCCTAATGTCTGTTCACAAAGTTTACCAAACATTTTCCAAGTTATCCACCTCCTGTCTACACTGCAGATGTCATTGTAACCTTCTTTCAAAAAATGAATCTCATGGACTCAATATTTGTATTTTGACTTAACTCTTCCACAGGCACAGAAGATTACAGATCAAAACTAAGTGGAGACTGCTTTGCAGATCTGGCCTGCCCTGAAAAATGTCGCTGTGAAGGAACCACAGTGGACTGCTCCAATCAAAAGCTCAACAAAATTCCTGACCATATTCCTCAGTACACAGCAGAATTGTAAGTTCAATCTGCAGTAAGGTACAAGTTGCCACTGGAGAATTCAGGTACAATTTTGGTATAAAAAACATTCCACAACTTAAAAAACTCATCCCCTGATTTTTGCATGTTGCACGCTATTATAATGAACTTTTCAGCTAAAATTGTTAACTGCCCTGTAACAGGCTACAGGCTTGCAGTCTGGGTCAGTTAGCCAACTAGTAACACGCCACCCTCCTAAGGGTCCACAGCTGGCTCAGTCAGTAAATGAGGAGAAGTTCACTGGCTGATGCAGAACTAAAAGGGGGACAGGAGGAAGAAGTGAGGAGAGAGGACCTAAAGTCCCCCACATTGTTCACATGGACAGGTAGGTCTCTCCAAGGAAGAAGGAAGAGTACAGGGTGAGAACTAACCCATGCTTGTGGGTGTTCATTGTGGATTGTTTATATTTCCTGTTGAGCTCTGTAGTGCAGAGTAACCCAGGGTGTGATGCTTGTATTGGATAGGTTATATTTTCTACCGTAGTGCTGAAGGAACTCAGGGCATTATCACCTGTGTTGCGGAACCCAGAGAAAGACTGCGTTGCTGGGATCAGATTAAGGGAGTTACTTCAAGGGTTCAAGGACTGATTCAAGGCTGGCAGTGCCAGGCTAGCTAAGTGGCTGTCTACAAATAGTGGAGAACACAGGCAATTTGAATTCTCCCTGCAAGGATGGACACTGAGGCTTGTTTACAACAGCTCCAGCTGCAACAGCAGGAATTCCATCAGCTCTAGCTGCAGCAACAGCAATTTCAGAGGGACCTGTAGTAGCAATCAAAAAAAGCTGCAGCTGCAACAGCAGGAATTCCTTCAACAGCAAATGAAATGGCAGCAGAACCTTGGTCAAGGGGGTGGAGATTTTGTGCACCCCACTAGTGAGGCTACGGTTCTAAGATGGGACCAGCCGATGACCCAGAAGCCTTCCTACCCATGTTTGAATCAGTGGTGAAGATATACCAGTGTGCCCAGGACACCTGGGTTGTGTGGGTGGTCCCACTTCTTACAGGGGAAGCACAAGTTGTGTTTTGTGCATTCGGGCCAGAAGCAGCTCAACACTACAGAATGCTTAAAGCAATGATTCTCGATCACTTGGGCCTTATTAATGAGTCCTACTAGTGGCAATTTAGAACCAAGGCCTAGGACCTCCACACTCATCCTGGAGATATGGCTCAAAGACTAAAGGATTTATGCACCTAGTGGCTCCACCCAGATACCTGATCTGCATGAAAACTGATGGCCTGGAGCAATTTTGTGGTGTCTTCCCAGCAGAAATGTACAAGTGGGTGTACCACCTCTATGTGACCACTCTAGCAGAAGCCACTAGGAGGGCAGAGGGCTTTCTGGGGGCAGAACTTAAATATCAGGACTTCTGGGGGAGTTGGCTGCTAAGCAGCAGGAGAAAGGCCAGTGGGGAAGGGTTGACTGTAGGGACAATATGGAGGGGTCTGAACCAAGCGGCAACCTTATCATGTCCTTGACGCTAGCTCAGGGAGGGGTCAGTAGCTGACTTTGCCAGGGCCTTGGTACCAATGGGGCCACCCTGCAGTCCATACAGAAGGCCAGATGTTGAACTAACCTGCTTCTGGTCCAGGGAGAAGGGACACCAGGCCCAAGATGGCACCCAGCTGGACTGCGATATTCATTTGCATATCTCATTGGAAAAGGGGTGGGAACTCTGATGTGAGGAGCTATGTGGCCCCCATAAAGACTGGAGAGGTCTGGGTCAATGGGCTCACGGACTCTGGCTCAGGCCAGACATTTGTCCAGGACCAATATGTGAAGGTCAAAGACATCGCAATTTCGGGAATATACTTATATCCCGACTAGGGAAATATATTCATGTCCCAATTGAGAGAATGTACTCTGACAAATGCAGAAGCCCCTAGCGGGCCCCAACTCAGTGGAGTCTATGCTTGAAAAGATCTTTTCCTTTTTGGACCCAGAGCTATTTGGGCCACAGCCACAGTTATGCCATGACTGGAGGCAACAGATGTGCTCAGGGAAAGGTGTTGTAGTCCAATGTAATTTAGATCCTGTAGAGCAAGGAGGCAGTGTGCTGAGACCCATTGAGCCCAGCTTCAAGCTGGACGTGGATGAATTGGGAATGGGCCAGGATTTTTTGTGGGACCAACAGGGGGACCCCGTGTATGTGAGACTATATGGACAGTTGGCTTGAGCTAATGGATGCATCCTTGACCCCTGCCTGACCAACCAGGATCCACATTTCAAACTATAGAGAGACCTCCTAGTTAGAGATATACATGTCCAGAAATTTTGAAACCATGGATAAAAGCCATTTTTCTCCCTCCCCCCTCCCTTTTTTTCTGGAAAAAAATGGGAATTTGGGGGAAATTTGAAATACATGCAATATTTATTTTCTTAGCACCCTTTACAGATCTAAATTCACTTTGCTACTTTAAGAACATCAAATGTATTATGTATAATTTGGTGTGCTCATAAAATTATCATGTTTGATATATTTATTAAATTTAACAGTATAGTTTATTCAGACAGTAATTACACATTTACTAATTTAATTTTCTTTAAAGTGTTTTTAATTTTTGTTACAAATGGAGCTGCAAGCTGCTGAACTCTAAGGAACCTAGCATCTCTTAGTTTTTGCCAATTTATGAGAAGCAGGCAAAAATTAAAGGTGGTAATAGAAGAAACCATCAATATTCTAGTAAAACAAAGAACGTTATTATGTATTCTGGACTTAGTCTCCTTCACAGTGTCAAGCAGATACAGAAAGCACTCATTTTTAGAAAAAGAGCTAAGGAATAAAGGGAAAAAAACCCAAGACTCTGAATACAAAGTTTGCTACATGAAGCTTTGTCTAATCAGTCTCATTTTCTGAGGTATCACTATCAGCAGTTTCTGCTGCTTATGATCCTTCATTTTTATCATCTTCATGGACTTCTGAAAACTGAAGATTTGTCTAGATTGAGACAGCTTCTCTACTCTTTCACATGTTAGTTTATTTCTTGATTTGGTGCGAGTATTTCCAAACGTAGACTGGTTTCTTCCACATGCTGCAGAAAATGGAGGAATCTGAAGTGGGCAAGAAGCAAGAAAAGTCAGAGGCTGTGTCATACAAAGGCCTTGCCACTGTGTTGCAGGAGGGGATATGCTTGGCAGAGTCCCAGGCTGCATTCCTGAACCAAATACCTGAAGATGTTCTGTATTCTGCAACATTTGAAATTACCTTTCCAACATCAAGTCCTAAATGTGTTGCTTGTTTTGTAATCCAGTCAAATATAGTAGCAATACTATCATCACTAACATTTCTGCCTTTGAATCTTGGATCCAAGAGATTTGCAGCAGCATGAACTAATTGGGAACAAAATTCTTCCCGTCTGTTAATAAAGTCTTTCACTTTTCTTTTTTCTGTACTTCTAAGTGGAGATGCACTTAGATTCTCAAAAACAGTTGATTTTATCTGGGCCTTATGGTAAGGAATGTCTAACAAAAATGCACTGTCTGATTCAGATGCAGTAATTGCTGAAGAAATTGACTTTAGAATCTTCAGGGAGTTCTGCAGCTGAATCCAGAAGACATCCTCATCAAGTACAATGTTCCTTACACTTCTGGGTACTTTAAGATCCTCAGTTATTACTGGTTCTTGGAGAGCTTCTTTGTTTTTTAGTAAACTTCCAAATGAGATCACCACTCCACCCCATCTAGTTTTATTACAGAGTTTGAGTGTCACTATTTTATTCTTTCCATTCTTTTCTTCCTGCTTCTTAAAGACTGCAGCTAAAATATGAGTAGCTTTTACATGTTTTATAACTTGTTTTGCTCTTCTATAGATCTTTTGCAGAATGTCCAACTTTGTGATGTCATTAAGAAGCAAGTTTAGCCCATGGGATGCACATCCTATTGCAATAATGTGTGGATATTTATCCATTATGATCTCCTACGCAGCAAAGCAAATACTTTACCACTCCCAATCTTCTGTAGAACTTCACATATTTTACTACTGATATACTCTGCTGTATGCCTGTTCT